CAGGTTCTGGTCTCACTGTGGCACAGACCAGGCTGCAGGGACAAAACTCAAAAGGCGCTTCTGGCAATCAGATCATCCCCCAGATCAGTTGAGGACAGGTATTTCAAAAGCAGTGGGGCATGATTTAGGCCTATTCTACATTACCCTCCTTCAATAGGCCACATGTTACCTTTTGGCTAACTGATGATGCTTATTTTTATTTTTTTTCCCTTCCTGTTAGATCACATGGATCTTGATTGAGTTCTGCTTACAGCTTAGCTAAAGTTCTCAAAGTGGTCGGTCTACTGATGGTGGGACAAATATACCTTATCTGGAAGTTATCTACCGGCTGGGCACTGTAAAAATCTCCAGTGCATTTAATATTGTGAATTCATGATTGCAGGTCATTTGGTCCAAAACATCAGCCATCAGATTTTTCCTGCACTAGTCACTATCTGCAGAAGGGTTATTCATTAGGTCTTTGCAAATTTCTATTTCTTTGCCCATCTTGCTAGATTTCATAGTGTTGCTTTTCCATCCCCTTTGAAAATTAAGTCACCATGTCAGTGATTCATGTGGAAAATAACACCACGTGCACTTCATCCTCTTTTGGCTGTGTTGCTCAGGTGAAAGAACAGCCTTTGCTGAAAGCAAACCAAATCATGAAAGTCTGGACTAACAATTTTGCAGAAAAGGGATGGTTTTGGTACTAAAACTCCTGGGGAAAAGCCAGCTATAGCCCAAGCAGTTGAAACTTTCTATGCTATGTGTTTGACTTGCATGGGCATCTTCATTATTGAAAGTTCAAAGAAACAGCAGAGGAAAAAGCAGTTATCTTCTGTTCTGTGCAGGGAAGAAATAACCTATTCCTTGCTTCATTCACTTTTGTAACTGCCACTGCTATTGCTGTTTCCTGTAAGAAACCATGGAGTTGCATCTGGAATATTTACTGTGTATATTCCAAATTCCAAATATATCAAAGGGTATAAAATACTGTCAGTATAAGCACCTTCCCTGTTAAACATACATGGTCATAAAATATGAAGGGAAACTAGATCAATCTATTGAAGATATTCACATACAAAACTATTTTTCATATGTCATAGGAATTTATTAGAAAACTTACTGTACATTATGGAGCTCTGAGCTGTGTGACCATTTTGTATCCCTGTGAATACAACAAAAGTATGCTCATCAAGTTACCGGCACACAACTCAATTTTTACATGGGAGAGTAAAACTTGGTGTTAAATAATGCCTAAAAGCAAATAGAAAGCACCTTGTCTCCTTCAAATGGCATCCTCCCAGGAAATGCAAAAAAAAATCAATATATTATAGTAGCTTATGATCTCATTTAAGTGATTCAACACAACAAAATTTCAATGACATTTCTTTCTTCTGTGACTGTTGACTTGCCTTTTCTCTCTGAACTGCACCACTAGATTTAGATTTTTTTCCAATTTTTTTCATCCTTTCCTTAGGACCATGCTGTGGAAGGCAGCCTGTCCTGGGGAAAAAAACATATGGTTCATTAAACCACTAGAGATTAACAGAAGCCAAAAAATTCATGAATGCCATGGACTCCGTAGCTCTAGTCTAGGGAGGGGAAGACCTGTACCACATCAGGCTGGCTGCACTGTCCCCTGGGATTTGTGGGATTGTCTCCTACCATAGATGTCTGTGTTTCCTTCTTAGTTTATCTTAGTTTGATTTTTCACAGAACAAAAGCTGTACTTTCCCTGTTAAATTGCCCTACAGCTGCCTTATACAGGAAATGTAGATGGCTTGTACTCCCCAGTCATAGCAATTTTTATGTATTTCTGAATGGGATTACTGCTTGGGTCTCCAGAAGATGTTATACTTATTTACATTTGAGTTAAGCACTGATGATCCCCTCCTTATGGCTTCACTGCAGAAAGAAGGTGGAGGTGGCAGAGAGCAGATAAATCACAAAAGACACGCTTCATCTGCCTGATCTCTGGTCTCACTTCTGCCCTTAGAAATGGTGCAATAGTTCAAGTTTATAGCCTTTGTGGATTAGAAAAGCACCCTTATGCTGTTGAAAAGAGAAAATGTCCATAAACAGTGATATTGACAGTTATTACTGTTGTATCACTGAAGACCAGGGCTCATTGTGCTAAGTGCTGTGCAAATGTATTTTAGAGGGCTTTCCCTGCTATAAACAGCAATATTCTTGTTAGAAGCAGCAGGTCTTGTTATTCCTATAACTCTCTTTGCTCTATTTTGCAGCTCAAGTAGCACATGGGCAGTCATGCCTTAGTAACAGTCAGGAGAACCAACTCAAGACAGACACATTTCCATCATGTGAGTACTTCTTTATATCTTCTGTCTCCACCACATTTGGAGTTTTGCTGTCTTTACTCCAGGGAAAATTTGCCACACTCCACGTGTTCATAAAGAAAGCACCAGAAGCAAGAAAAGTGAACAAATGTAAACTGGTTGAAACAAAAATTGAGGGGTTTTTATTTTCAAAACAAAATATTTGGATCTATAGCTTTTTATCTTTTAGAATAATACATGCTCAGATTAATCTGTGACAGACACATTTAGAAGGCACTACAGAAAGAGTGGAATGTGTAGATGCCTATGATTGAATTCTAATCAGGAAACAGAGTTCTTCACTCTTTCTGTAGTTCTAGTCTGGTGATCCAGATTGCCCCTAACCAACATCTACCTAAGGGCAGAGAGATGCTATAAACATCCTAGAGAGATGGTGCTGAAGAAGCCTGAAAGATTGGACATGCTTTCTATCCCTGGGGTGGTTTTTTGTTGGTTTGTTTTTGGTTTTTTTTTAATTGGAACATATTTTCCTTTTCCCCTTCCTTTCTTACATGACAACTCTATTTACAGCTTGCAAACTTCTCACTCTTTAGTTTTGGTAACAGTATTGCTGATTCATTGATCCATTCATGATCCAGGGTTCCTTTCAGTCCTTTCCAGCAATGCTACTGCCTGGCCAATTATTTTATTGTGCTGATACATCTTTTCCTTTCCCCTCTGACCAGCTCTTATCTCACAACAGTCTCCACATTTTCTTTGGTGTGTCCTTTTCAAAATGGAGAGTTAATAACTAGGTCAGCTTCAATAAGAAAGGTGAGTGTGGAGTGCTAGTCTGTGCTCAGGAGCCTCCTTGCCCCTTACAGAAAGAATCTCTCACATTTCCTCAATCTTAATCCGCTTTTAATGGACTTACTTATTAGTTGCTAAGCTGTTTTCTTCTGCAGAGCTAGAAAAGATAGCCCACATAGTAAGGTGCTGGTATTTTGTGGTCAGGCACAACATCAGAATGTCTGGATTTGTATCTTGCTCTTTTTTGGTGGATTAGGACCACTGAGGAAACTTATTCAGTGCTATCTGCGTTTAAGAAATGAGAGCCTGAATGAGATTTCTGGCCCTCAAGCAAATTTTCTGAGTGCCCTTGGGTGACTCAGTTGCTTGTCTCTGTTTCAGCTCTCTCTCTGCCAGGCTGATGTAATATTCCATGCCTAATATAGGTGCTGAGGAGCTCAATTAATGAATGCTTGTGGAGTGTGCAGATCACTGAAGTACGGATCGGTACCCCTGAGGGACACCAGCAGAAAGCTGCTTGGGAGCACAGGCTGGCTTGCCAGGGTGGAGAGTGAGAAAACTCTCAAAGAAGTGGACAGGAGGCTGGAAAAAGGAAGCAGGAGAGAGCCCAGAAAAATTGGGGCTGATGTAACAAAAGGCATTCATTACTTGCTACAGAAACTCTAAAGGAATCTGATGTTTGGATGTTCCCTTCAAATTTGGACACTTGGAAAGCTTTAATCTATCAAATTTGAGTGGGGAGTCTAAAAGTCTAAAGAAAGACCTCCTGAAAGCCATTTGCATAGTGTACACACTAAAAAGCTATAGACATATAAAATAATTTAAACCTTGAAATTATATAAGCATTAAACAAGCCCTGAAAAATGTACACAAACATATTCTGGTGAAAAGCTACATTGTGATCCTTCCTGTATGAATTACAGCACATATACAATAACTGCCATGCATTCTGCAGGGAATGTGAGAATGTAGGCACCTATTCAGATTGGAGGCCATAAAAAAGGAACCTCTAATAACAAGTGGATCCTAACATTTTTTGAAATAACTAAAATAAGAAAGGGACCAGAGGGAGTGAATTGCATAAGGAGTGGAAAATCCTGAACCCATGCTGGCCCGAAAGAAGTATCAGAAAGAAAGAGCTCCTTTAAGTAAAAAACCTACCAAATTAGACCTTTGTCTGACCAATTCAATAAGAAAGGAACAGGGAATAGGGAAAGTCATTCAAATGTATTCATTAAGTTGGCAGAGAAATGCTTATTAAAGAAACTCTCATCTTGATTCCTTTTTTGGGGAGGAGGAAAAGAAGAAGGAAGGGAAAGGTTTTTTTTATTATTATTTAACATTAATGGTTCAGAGGCATTCTTCCTATTATTCCTTCTATTTTGACTTGCTGCATTTGAAAAATATGTTGTCTTTTAAATAGATTTATTCCTTTCAACAGCATCTGACATCTTTTGTCAGAAGTTCCTTCATTTTTCCAGTTTATTTCTTAACATGTATTTGTATAAGTGGCTTCCACTGTATTAATTGATGTGTTTGTGTCTGTTCAGAGCAAATGCATTCTCCTCACAGGGATTTTAACAGGCATTTGTTTAAGTGCGTTTTGCTTTTCTGTGTCTATTTCTGCTTGTTTTTCTGGTAGAGAAGGAGACATTACTAACATGCAGCCAGCATAATGAGTCCCATTAACTCCCAGTTCAGTTTGCTTTTTGACCACCTCTCTTTTAATGACTGTACTTTTCTTGGCTGCAAAGTTTGGGGAATAGGAAGACTGTTCGCTCTGCTGGATTTTAATACATGTTTACATCCTTCTTTGCAGAACAGCACCACCTCTCAATTAATGTTACTCTTAGCCTTAAAAAAGCAATTGGTAATAAATAAATGTGAGCATGTTTTGGGAAAGTGTGGTGCAAACCAGAATTTTCACAAAGGCTGCTAAGCAATTTTAGAAGCAGCATTTGTGTTCTAATATTTTAAAGCTTTTTCATTGATCTCCTGTTAAATGAGAAGCAAGAATTAACCTCAATGACAGTGCTAGTAGCTCTGCAGTCTATTTTGGCCTGTTCTTTAAGTAAAAAGAGCAACCTAGATGAGAATTTTGTGCTTCACTGGATATTGAAAGATGAGGCAATAAACTGCTAAACTTGAGTAATCACACACTCCCAGAGGAATGCCTCAAATGGGGTTGGTCAAAAACCTTGAAATTCTAGCCTTCTGCACACTGCCTGGGCTTTAACATTTGATGAGAGTCATTATAGTGAGGGACTGAATACAAGTGTCTTCTGATTACAGACCTTCCATTAAAAGTTCCCACCAGTGTGCCTTTCCATAGAGAAGCGTCAATGGGATTAAAATCTCAATTCACCCCAGTCAATTCTCCAGTAACACGATTTCATTAGAGGCAGGCAGGGAAGAAAATGGACTAGAAAGCACTGAAACAGCTGGTGTATAAATTATAAAGTGTACTTTCTACTAAGTGAACACACCTTCCGCTCAGCCACATTACTAATTAATGTGTAGGGTAGCTGATTTTATGTAAATTGTATTCTTCCTCTCTCCTGTGCTTTGGTTAACAACAGGTTCTTCTAAATCTTGGAAAAAGAAAGATTATGCAAAGCTATCATCATATGAAAATAACATATTAACATACTGCCTGTGAACTGTATCCAATCAGTTCCTTTTCACTGGTGTGTGTACAAAACAATTAAAATCAAATTTATATTGCACTTCTTTAATATATTCTGGCATTAATATAATCAACGAACAAGTGTTAAAAAGTCTTACAGGCCTATTCTGCTTTAAAATGATATGTTTGTTCTCAGGGTTAGTGGATATTTTCCGCTTTTCTAAAAGGGCACTAAAATGAAAAGTTCTCGGTGTACAAATGCAACTCTGGCAGGTTCATGTGGAGCCTTTCTTATTCCAGAATTCCAGCCTCTCTCAGCCTGTTGTGTTCATTTTTTTAGCTGGTGTCTTTACTCCTGGTCTTTGTCAGCTGTTCCCCATGTTACCTGCAACATATTGGTTTTTAATTATTGGGTGTTGCTGAAGAACAGTTCATAAAGTTTATGAGAGCCCTGGATTGTCTGGATGACCTGCGGGCTGGTTGTGCTACCAGCTGTTCCTGTGTCAGGCGGACACACACACCCAGGAGCTGCCTGCCAAGGACCAGGATTTCACCTGGAGCCTGAAGGATGGCTCATATGCCACTAGCACATCCTTATTTTCCATGTTTCATGCTCTGAGGCTACGTTTTCCTATCTGCTTTCCTTCCTGCCTTTGGTGTACTCTCATGTGACACGTGGCAGGAAGAACCGAGATACTCTGTCGCTGCTCTCGGTGTTAGAAGATCTCAGAAACAAAACAAAACTGGTGTGAATAAAACAGTTTTGTCATTCACAGGGGTGGAATGTCTACCAAGAAGTTATTTATTCCGGCCTTAACAATATCTGCATCTCCCCAGGAACAGAGCCTTGTCAAGCCCCTCTGCCAACAGGCACTCCACACTTCATCAGGCAGTTTTTCTCAGGGATTCTGAGAAAATTCTCAGGGATTCTGAGAAGATTCAAACAGAACTTTGCTGTCTCTTAACACCTCTAGCTGCAGGTAAGCCCAATTCTTGTCCTACGCTCTGAGGATAAAGAAGAGATTACTCTCTTCTTTGAATTTGCCTTTTACTTATTTTGAGAACCTATCCTCCCTCAGACACATATACAGAGACTAATGCTAGTGCCCAGCCAAGATGATTCCCGAAACCATGATCATAAAGCTGGAAATTATTGGTTTTCCCCTCCCCTGGCAGTGCTGAACCTGCCTACAAAGACACATCCCTCTGAGGAGACCAAAAGAGAATGTATTTCCTAGGAGAAATAAGTGAGTGAGATCCTCATACCACTTCTGAGCCTTTTTCTAAAGCAAAACTGCTTCTTACGGCAAGAGACAAACTAAGCTGAGACCATAAGCTCACTTCAGTTTGGACCAGAGGAAAGTAATAAACCATGGAGGAAAGGTCAGTGTCTTCCTATTAAGTGGTGCCATGTCATCCTTATTTACAATTTCCTAACAATTAATTTAACCAGATAAAAAAGTGATTGGCCGAATTTTGAAATTGCAGATTTGAATTCTTGGAAGTATAAATGGTTGTGCCTTTACATTATCAAAAATGGCTTTAGACTCGAACTGTTTCTTTTTCTCTTCAGCTCTTTTCATCAAAGCCACAAAATGAAGGTGGGTGAGGAATGCAGAGGAGAAGGAAAAAATACGAGGATTCATTGCCAAATATTTTCTTTTTGTCCTTCATTTCCTACCAGCTGATTTGAAGTGGAACCAAGCTGAGTAGATGACTGACAGAGTACCTCACACTAAACACTTGGCCAGACCTGCTGCACCATTTTCCTCCTCGATGGTGTGGGTGGCATAAATGGCATCAGCAGGCTGGCCCTCAGCCTTGAGGCACAGGGCAGCATCACCTGCAGCCCTCTGTAGGGACAGAGTAGGAGTGGAGGAGGTGCACATGCCACCCTTGGTCACAGCAGTGGAAGCCCAGGAAGTATCAGTGGGAACTGAACGTAGCCAGGAAGGTCTGAGCAGAGACACAGATCACAGCCCTCACCTTCCCTGGCTGCTCAGCACTCCAGGTAAATGCTGTCTCTCACTCCCTCTGGCTGTAAGTCACTGTCAGACCCTTCTCCACTGGCTGAGGGACAGTGTGGTGGCACTCTCCAAGCCTGCCAGGACCTGTGGTGCTAATACTACTCACAAAGGAAAGAGGACGGACACAGCTCTGGTACCTGGGCTTGCTTTCCCACTTACAGCACCAGGAAAAGATGCTCTGTTGCTCTTTCAGAAATACTTTGCTGATGAACTACTGCCAGATAAGATGAACAAATAAATCTCAGGAGCCTCTGAAGGTGATCCTCCAAAAATGGCTTAACAGGGCTTAACAATGGCTTGCCTGGCCATTTGTTGGTTTGCTCTTTTTGGAAGGAACAAATGTATGAAAAGATAAGTTGTAATTACTGTTTTCCAGGCAGCTCAAAATAAAGCCAGAACAGAGAAAAGAAGCTTCTCTTTCTTTGGATGGTGTTAGGTTGAAAGCTGATGAGTGGGTTCCTCAGTGATTTGGGGGTTGCACATCTTCAGTGAGAGAGATTCTCACATTCCTGCAATTTTTAAATGGGCTTTCTTTTTATGCGGCTGTAAAATTTTTACCAGTGTTTGCTGTGTTCATGGGAAATTATCCTATTTGTCTTCAGTGGATGCTGCAGAACACTCAAAATGAGAAACACATCCATAAAGTTAGTTAGGGTTCAATATGTAATTTTTTTTGTGATAAGGAAAATGAAAAAGATAGTTGTAGTTGCATTTTAATTATATTTATTGGATACACACATTGTGTAAGATCTAGAATATCTCTAGCATGATGGAAGACAGCAAAAGAATGGGATTATAGCAAATGAAGAAGAGATCTCAGGCCTAAATAGTGATATAGAGAGGATAACCAATCTGAAATGGTTGAAATTGTGCAGCTTTAGGGAATGTTTAGTGTCTTAGCACAAATTGCACAAATTTAATTGCTGCATGCATTCCCATAATTATTTTTGTTTGGAAGTAACTGTGAAATTGAGTCTTTTGCTTCTGCTGATATCAGGTCACTTCTGAAAACAAAGTGTATCTCAGAGAACAGCAATATTATTATTATTCAAAGGCTGCGTGCTTGGGCAATTATGCAAACACTGTCCTCCTGTCAGTCAGTACAAACCTTTCCTAAAATACCTGGAACCCTTGAATTAATTAAACTTCCCATCACCTCTGAATGCCACCATGCAAGGGGTTCATCTCCTCCCCAAACCCACTCCAAAATTCCCTCCCAGGTCATTTTATCATGCAGTTGTCCAGCTGAATGTTGTTCTGCAGTGAACACTGTTGCTCCTCTAATCACTGAGTACAAGCTTGTCTATGCACAGCTCTGCAAACTCTGTATGCTCTTTTAGCAAAAGTCAACTTGGTGACTCACTTGTTGCAAAAAGTGTGAAATCCACTGAAAGCAGCATTGCTTCCCTGAAGGAAATAAGTTTTTGTGGCCTAACCTCAGAGACAGCAGAGGCTGATGTCCCCTTTCCATCATGGCTGGAAGTTTAGGAGCACAGTTCATACAAAAACAGCTGGAGAAAAAAGGTCTGGTGGGAGAAAACCCCAAAAGCAACATACCAATGTAATGATACAGAATGTAACAAGACTTTTTTTCTTTCTTTTTTACTCCTTAAGTACTCTTAATGGGAATAAATGGTTTATCTTTTCAGATCTGTGTATTACTGCAGAAGCATCCCACTGGGAAAAGGCTGCATAAGTTCTGGCCACCGTGTAAATCCCACGCTGACGACTCACTTGGAAAGAAGAAAAGACACAAAATGTTGTGCTGGCTCTCTAAGTGAAGGTAAGTGTTGTCCTACATAAACAGTAATGAGAGCAAAGCTAAATGGTGCCCAAATCCTGTTTCAGGAGCAAACCATTGTTATGTCAGCCAAAGCCTTTGGGATTTTTATGAAGGTGGAGACTGTTTCTCCCTTTGTCTATTCTTACACCCTGGTAAACAGGCATGTATGAAACCAGACCTATATAAAAAGGATGGCATTCACATCCTGTGTATTGTGTCCCCCCCACCTGGCTACACCCTGTGTGTGTGGCACTCAAAAGGGCAAATGTGTCCCACAGGGAGGAGGAATATTCAGCCTTCCACAAATGGCTTTGAACCAGCTGCACATCACAAAACCACCCTGCAGAGTCCCTGGGCCTGGGTACTCTTGCTGGGACAAGCTCATCCATGACTGTATGGGGAGCTGCTTAATTGAGGCTCATTACTTCCATTTCCTACTGACACCGTGCACCCCGCGAGGCAAGCCAGGGGCAGGGGGTGGAACAGCTGCTGCTGCTCGTGGGGAAGAGGGAGAGGATGAGGGATAACATGCCCTCACCCAGCCCTGCTGCCTCTGTGGCTGGCACAGCCTGTGAGGAGGAGCAAGGTGCTCATCTGACCCCTCAGGCAGGGGCACACACCTGCCCAGGCCACCACAGGGCTTTGGTGCACTCCTGACAAACTGCCCCAGCTGGTGTTTCCTTCACCCCTTTGGGATTGCCTGCCAATCTGTTTGTTTTGTCCTTTTTTTAGGAAAGTTGATGCTTGGAAGAACCTCAGCTAAAACTCCCAAAGAGGAGACCTTCCCAATTTTAACAGGTAACATCAGCCGTCTATTTTTTCTTATTCAGGTTGCGTAACCTGCCTCTCCAAGGTCAGACAAGCATCCTTGCAAAGCCTCTAGCTCAGATTCTGTTTCTTGAGGCACACAAGCTCACAGGTAGACACAGACTTCCTGTTCATTCCTGCTCCTGTGGATGTCCTGAATCCCTGCTGAGAGCCTTGTTCCTATTTCTTTACAGACATTCTTCCAGTTCTTTGCTGATGTAGTATCCTCAGTTTTCATTATTAAAGACCCATTATGGGCTTTGGCTCCCACAGGTAAATATGCAGTATATTCCACTTTATGTCAACTTTTCCTGAGCTTCCACAAAAGCTGTTAAAGGAATTAATCACCTTTTGATTTCCATGGGACAGTGGAAAACCTGTGAGAAAGAACTTAGGCAATGATATCTGTTATTATCACCCTTCTGAAACTCACCACTGCTGAGTGAAAATGAGCTTTGTGAAGGTAATCAATCACTGGCCACCACATGGGCTCCCTCAGTATAACATTAAGGGTAAAACTCATCACTTTGAACAGCATCAACGCAGCCTTGTGTAACACCAATTCTCACTCACCCACTTCTGTAGAGGAGATGAAAGAGGGATCTGTTTACTCAAGATGCTCTGGCTTTGCATTTCACCACTTCCAGTGCAAGTAATGACTTGCTGGACTGCCACTGGACTGGCCAGGCAAGGGCTTTCTGTGCTGCAAGGTGGCATGGGGCCATGGTAGCTCTGCACGTTGACTGGGAAGTCAGATAAATTACAACTGCCAGCATCAAAGCTGTAAAAATGATAAAAATAAATACCATGGTATTACAGAGAGTGCCTTCCTTTGCAGCTGCTGTTAGGCAGTATGCTGTCAGTTCATAGAATAAGAAATTATTTCAGAACATATTGCATTATGCCAGAATGTTGTTTCACCCCCCAAAAAAACCCTACACAACTCCCCCCAGAGCATGTTTTAGGTGAGGGATAAACTTAGAGAGATGGTGGCGTCCATTGTGTTAGACTCTGCACATTAAACATTTGGCAGCCCAGAGATGAAAGGTGTGAAAGGACCATGTTTGTGGGCAGAGAAAGTTTTTGGTTTGGCAGCACCTGAGAGCAGAGCTAAGCTGGTTTAAAGCATTTCAGGCTGGGTTTGTCTTCTCTGCTTGTGTGTATGTGAAGATGCCCAGGTGATTTCCATGGCACAGGCTTTGCAGGCATGCAGTTGCTGCATCCTGTCACTGGAGACTAAGAAGCAGTGGCAGGTCATCACAGAGAGAATTAGCTCATGTATTTTGACAGGTGAAGTTAAATAAAATGAAATAATTTGACAGGAAGTGAAGCAAAAATTCAACAAAGGAATAGACTTGCATGAATATCAGGTTACCAAATGGGGGAAAAATGAGGATGGGAAATGTATATACAAATAAATAAATATAGATTTTTTCATAAATCTGTTTCAACCTCAGCAGTTTGACTAGCTCAGAGTTCCCTATCTCTTGGCCTGTTTGGGTAAGGCAGTGCTGCTATCACAGTAAGTGCTTTCACTTCCAAACACACAGTAAAGGGAATGCAGGATCTCTTGCCAAAATCTCTTTCAAAACCGAGTGTGAAGTAACAAAGTAAGAAAGTCCACTCAAGTTTGGAGAGAGTCTAAAATAGGAGCTCTAGGAATTCCAAGCTGCTCTATTAGTCTCATTTCAGGCCCATGGGCTGTACAGGTTTGTGGCCAAGTAACTGTTGATTGTGGCTGCTATTCCCACAGGGAAGAAAGAGAAATGCTATATGGGGCACAAAAGCAACAATGGATTTCTGACAATATAGTCTTTTCCAGTGTGATCACAGGCAGCTTTGTGCTCTAAGGAAACAAGGACAACTTTGCCACCAGTATTAATTATCAAGTGGCTAGGACTGTCTTCTTAGTGTGCTGCTGGTAAAAAACAGACATGCAGGGGAGAAAATGCATCCAAAATTACAGCAAACAAATGCATTAGAAGAGAAAAAAAATTATAAACTACACAGGTGGCATGGAAAGCAACAGTGGTGTTTTCTCAGGAAAGATGCTGAGGACATAAAATGGGAAGAGGCAGCACAGCCGCACAGGGCACAGCAGCGAGCCCAGCCTGTTTCTGAGGACCACTGCAGCGATGCTCGGAAACAGCACACGGATGTGTGGCCCTACCCAGCCTGATCAGGGTGTGCCAGCCTGCCAGCCTGCAGCCAAACATGCTGCCTTTTAGTGGTACATGTCCCCTGGCTGCACACAGCAGGCACGGGCCATCTGTGAGGAGCAGGATCCCCCCCTGTGCCGGGACCCGCCGGACACGTGCTGGCACAGAGTCAGCCCAGGGCCACAGGGGATGGCACAGGGGCCACTGGGGGATGTGGCTGGCATGGCCTGATACCCAGAGCCCTGGGAGGGGGCTGGAGAAGCACATTCCCCTGTGTCATGGCACTGAGATGTACAGGGATGGGCTCTCCTGGATGAGAGCAGGTGGGAAGGGCACGTGTCACCCAGGCAGCTGAGCAGATCATGGGAAAATGAAGAGACAGTTTAATGTTACATGTGTTTAGACAGGTAAAATTGGGGTTTGGAGACCTAAGCATATATCTCCAAATATATAATATTCATAGGTTTGTTTTCTTTAAGAGAATGTTTCTTTTAATCTGTTTTGTTCTGAAGATATCGTGTGTTTAAGCACTTTGTTGTTATTCCTGCTGTTTAGACTTTGTTATGGATGTGTAGGAAAAAAATCTGCTAGTTATCTACTTTACTTGGATGAATTGTTATCTGATGCTAACACGAAATGTAGGCAGAGTCCTGCAGGAGTCATCCTTTGCCCTAAGTGTGCAGTCTTATTAATCACTTTAAAACATTCCATGGCTCTCAGAGTTGTCAAGATCTCTCTCAAACCTGAACCAAGTTTGAAGCAACAAGGTAAGAAGGTGCACTTGACTTTAGAGACTCTAAAATAAGAGCTCTAGGAATGACAAGCTGCTCCATCACTCTCATTTCAGGCCTGTGGACTCCACAGGTTGCGGCCAAGAAACTGCCAAAATCCAACAGTTGACTAAATTTATACCTGTGTGTGCTATCAAATTTCAGCTATTGCAGGCCAGATTGCGTAGGAATGCAGAGATGGGAAAGGGGGTAAATTCTGTCAGCCAGGGTAAACTAACAGCAGACATGATTTTAAAAATAACATCTCCATGGAATTTGCCTGACACAGACCTCAGTCCCACCCTGATGCAGAAACACTACATAGCTTCAGGGAAATGAACACCCAACTGCCCTGAAACCTGTTCAGCATGAAAGGACTTTGCTCTTCTTCCCTTCGCTAGTAGACATTTTAAAAAAGGACAATCACCAGATAAAATATTACAAAAATAACCACTTTCAGGATCTGTTGTCACAGCTTGATTCAGCAGTGAGGGAAGTACCCTTGGTATTATTTCTGTGTTCAAATGCTTGAGACATTTATCAGAGATATTGATGTGGAATGCTTATGAGTCAGGTAGAAGATCCTACTTAGCCTCAAATTTCAGGCCAATGGTTTTTTCAAACTTATTGAAATCCAGCCAGGCCAGGCCTAGTTCCTGACAAGGATCTATCCAGATATTACCTCAATACATGGATTGGTAACCTACAAAAGCAAAAAGCATAGAAATTTCAGATTTAACCTAACTTCTGCTCTGTCATTTAAGGATCATTTTGCACTGTGTTCATGCATTTGAGCAGAAAATTAATGGTTAACTTTGCAGCCACTCCTGTAAATAGACCTTTTTTCCTTTTTTTTCACAATCATAAATCTTGCAGAGAAATGAAAAGCAGGAAAATAAAGATGCATTAGGTCCACATGCTCAGGTATTCTAGGTGGGCTTCTGCTGTGTGGGAGCCATAGAAACACAGAGACTTTTCCCCATCACCAGCAGAGCTATTCAGCCGGAAGCAAGGCAGATTTCACACCAGTTCTTGCCTAGGACTGCTGGTACCTCCAGCTGAGATCTGCTGGAGGGTGCTGGCTTAATTATAAACTATCTCCCCTACAGCTGCAGAACACTAATCCTGATTCACCAGAATCCAGCCCCTTTGTCTGATTATAAAACTAGCTTTTGAAACTTTTGGAATCAATCTAAGCCATGCAATGGTTATAGAGCAGTCATGGGACACATTTCATGCTCTTAAGGTGCCTAGCCAGGACACCTACTCTTTTTGCCACATTCTACAAGCCAGGGTCACAGTGACTTCAGTGTAACTCTATAGTGATATTTCAGCAGGACATGAGGTCTTATCATGTACATTCTGTCAATGAGAAAGTGACTTTTCTTCCAAGGGAAGAACTTGGTGAGGCAGCAGTCTCTTGGGACACTCCTCCCAGCAGAACCATGTCACCACAGGTGCACTTCTGTGCCTCGATGCCCTGATCGGTTCCTTTTCTGGAACTGAAGCTGCTCCTCAGTCAGGGGCTGCTGGGCAGGCTGAGCTGGCCCCTGGTGAAGGGTGGAAGGCAGGCTGTGCTCTGTGCTAGCCAGGAGCCAGCTCTCCCTTCCCCAGCAGTGAAACAGAGCCCGACTCTCACTCAGCCATCGCCTGCAGGCATTCCGGGTTTGTAGGAATTGTAAGGGCTGTGGCCCTGAAAGTGTATTTCAACATTTGGGAAAGACTTAGGGCTAAATTAGGCAGAGCACAGTGAAAGGATTTAGTTTTTCCAGAAATTCCTGTGACTTCTGTAACATTTCTACCTTTACTCCTTAGACCAAAATAGCTTTTTTTAAGTTGAGGAACTTCTTGAAGGTTGAATGTGACTGAAAAAGGAACATTCTTTTTTTCCAGAAGTTTTTCAGGATTTTTCCTTGGTCTGTACAGTAAGTATTCAAAAAATCATTGAAATATATTTTTTGTTTAATGTGCTACAGATTTGTCACAAGCCTAATTAAAATCTGAAGCCGGTGCTTTTATATTATTTATAAAACTTGTTAGAATGCAGTATCATAAATGAAACTGATTTGATCTTAAAGCTCTACAGATCAAGCCCAGGGCAATGGGGCCCTGATTTATTTGGAAATTTTGAATGAAAACAGAGGATATGCATTTATTCTTTTAAAAAATAATTCTAGCTTTCCCATAATCTTAGGCCATTAAAAAGGAGAATGAATTTTGGTATGCAAATAGCAGATAGTGCTTTGCAAAACTACTCTGGTGTTATATTAAAAGCTTAAAATCTGTTCACCAGAATTGCTCACATTATAATTTTCAAACTTATGAAAGTTACAAGAAACTTCAACCCAAGGTAGGAGAACCCTCTTTTGGAAACCTAAGGCCTGGCTTGTATTTGTGTAAAAACCCTTTCACAGCACCCTGTAATAGAAAGTGTTTTTAAGTTTGTCTAGTACAACCACGAGGTTGATAGCTTCTCTCCACTCATCTGCATTTAGGGATGACTGTGGTTTTAATGAAACAGAATATTCCAAATACTAATGGATCTTAAATTGCTTATTCTTACCAAGAGGTACTCCAAATAGCACATTTACCTCAAGTATGTGATATAAAGTGATGAGTTAATTCATGTACTTGTGTCAATTGCTTCAAGATACTGAGAATTAGCTGCATTAGTGATATGCTGCTTTTTTTTTTCCTCCTTGTGCTTTACATATGAACAGGAAAGTGCATAGGAATGGAGATCAATTTAAGCTGTGCTGTGCAAAGAGGGGAGAAATCTGGTGATGGTCCTACAAATGTCACTGACAAGGTGAGTAAATTCTTTATTTTTGCATTTTCTTGCTATTCCTTGTACTTAGGCTTGACATAGTTAGGATTTTTGAAGTAGTCTGTGGCAGGGAAATTTCTGATTGCAGTGAGTTAGCCCAGAAGAGTTTGTCTTCAGGAGAGCCACTTCAAATGGAGCTTGAAAATCCCTCCTAGTGACCTGCACCAAAGCACAGCTCAAATCGCTCCAAGGACTCTTCTCCACCTGGACTCCCAAACCCACCAGCACCATGTCTTGCAAAAGCAAGAAAAATGTGGGGACCAATGCACATCCCAGGCACATCAAACTTCCCTGGAGATCAAGGGCCAGAGCACAGTGCTATTCCCCAGCCTCAGGGTTCCTGTGAAGTAGAACAGAGCAACAGGTGGTGGCTGTTAATGTGCTGAATGTGGCTTCCCTCTGTGTCCGGCCATGGAAAACAAAGCCAGCCAGCGGATCCATGCCAAACGCTTTGCAAGCATGGAGCTTGCACAATTGGGCTCCACCCACATGCCTCACATGGGAATTTTC